ATATGAAAAATGGCCCAAAGTTTATTTGGACACAGGATCGAAGAAAACGATTAGTATCTAAGTTATTTTAATAAGTTGTTATTTTAACGGTTTCCAGCTTTCAAGTCTTTCATCATAACTCTCAAGAATCCTACAAAATTCACTTGGTTTCATTATTCCTTAATTGTGCTTTACAGTAAGATAGTTTGCACTATTTTTATGGGACTGTACAGGAAGAACAGCTCTATGCACTGCAACTACATTATATCCTTCCCGAGCCTGCCTCTACTATTTATACCTAATCATCGGTCAAGCTCACTGGTCCAATAAAAGACCAGCACCCTAGGGCTCAGACTGTCACTTCTCTAAGTTGGGGTTTCAGCAAGGCTCCAGAGTTTTACAACTAATCTGTTTTCCAGAAAAATTAGGAAAGTCACAATTGGGAGGAGGGGTGCTAAGCAATCTTCTTAGAGCTACTTGCCCCTTCTGTTAAATAACCTCAGAAGTCAGGATTTGTTTATAATTGAGTCATTTTAAGATACAAAGGGAAACAGTGATTGGGCACTCTTGTCTTAACATAAATTCATCCTTGCAACCCAGGCAACCTCTTTCTTGTAAAACACAACATGCAGACACTCCCCCATACTATGCCTATCATAATTAATTTAAAATAAAACAGGAGTTACCTTAATTTAAGTCATTATAGAACTGACTTGAATTTTAAAATACTGTCCCTCTTCTATTCTTGGGAGTGGAGAGTGATATCCCTTCTAATGTGTTCAGAGAAACTAGGCAAGACAGAAAAGGCACATATTTGGATTGACAAATTTAGGTTTGAATCTGAGTTTGGTCACTCCTTAGCTGTTTAACGTTGGCCAAATCTGAGTAACACCTTTAAATCTCAACTTCTGCTTCAGCAAAATAGGTAAAAACACCACTTAGCTCAAAAGATAGTGGGGGAGGATGGGAGGAAATAGGTAATGTGAAGCACCCAATACCTAAGTAGCCAATAAATATTACATTCTCTGAAAGTGTTGAGTTGAAAACTCTGGAGAATCCTCATTACATGAAAGAAGAGAACATGAACACTTCCTGAAAGTCTCCTTTATAAGTGCCAGACACTTTTTCATAACTTTTAATTAAATCTTAAGATACTTTTTAAGTATTTTCTCCATTTCCCTGTTTTAAAGAGTTTAAATAACTAAGCAGGTCACATAAATGGTAAGTATGTATTTGAATCCAGGTCTTTCTGACTCTAAACCCTAGGTAGGCTCTGGCTACTGTGTGCCTTACATGGCTACTTTTGAAATACACGATGCTCTGAAATAGTGGTTTCAACTGAAAAGAAGTTAAAATTGAGGACAGTTTTACAAACACAATACATTCCAAAAGTGAACACTGACTTAAAGATTTTAATCAAGCCTACCATCATAGTTAAGGTTTATTATCTAAAGGACCACAACTAATTATTAAGAATAGTTGTCTGTATACAGAAGCCACTATTTACAAAACCCAGGTCATCAAAGGTAAGCCACAGTATGTGCCACCCATGCACATACACTATAATATGATTCTCAACTCTGACCAATAACCAGGGCTACTGCTGAAACCATTCCAAGAGGCCCTGGTGGCACTTGATTCATTCATTCAGGGATTGAGTGCCTGCTGTATAAACAGCACTACATACAGTAAGCCCTTCTAAAAGTCCAAGACAAACATACCATATAAAAAATTTCACCTTTCACTGTATTCAAGATTGAGGTCCTAAGTAGTATACAATTCTGATGTCATCTAAAAATAATTTCTCATTAGTATTGTATAAACTGTAGCTCCTCACAAACTATTATTTCCAGTCAGATGACCAAATTTGTGAATCATTAACAAAAAATTTTAGCAGAAAACTTAAGGTTTAATTCTTCAATATTTAACAAAACAAGGCATAGGAGTACTTCTAACAATCCCATATTTAATCGTAAGTGTATTTCAAGACAAGGTACACCAGCCCTGTGTGCTAATTTACAAAGCACATAATTTACAATTGTGGTTTTAAAGCTCTTTTTGAAAAACACTTTTAAGAGTTTGATAAAAGCCTTTCTCTTCAAAAATGCAAACATGCTTATGCATATAAAACTTTACATGCCCATTAAAGTCCATCTACAGCTCCCCTCAATTTACAGGGAAATCGCCAACCCCAGATAAAGACTCCTTATTTAGGAAGTTATTTACAGTTTTAAGAGATTTTTCTCCTAGTTTTTAAATAGCATGGTCCCTTGAGTAATTTACATTTATCATTTTATAAAAATTTATTTATCCACAACTTTAATTAAAAGAACACTTCTTCCAAGTTCTTTAAATTCTTGCAATACTAAAAAAATAGTGTTCCTTGTCCACTAATATTAAGAGCGCTCACAAGATGTGTGGCCCTGAACTAGGGGTGGCAAAGAAGAGACTTTCAAGATATTGTCAAGGCCAGTGACCTTGAGAAGTTTACAATCTATTTGTACAGCCTGCTCTAGTAAAACAAACTAACAATAAAAAATACCCACTTCTTTCAACAACTTACTAACCATTTTGAGCAAAAACAGGCGTGGTCTTTAGACTGAAATCTTTAAATGAATAGGAAATGGAATTTTGTAGAAAAAATTCAGAAAATAGATTCAGAGAAATTAAAGAAGGAAAAACATAACAAAACAACTATTGGGTCATCGGGAAAGTCATGACGTATTTTTCTGTTTTTCAATGCAAAAATGCGTCACAACTTTCCGAACAACGACCCAAAAGATTTTCTAAGTAACATATACCTAAGAATGTGTTTGATTTACCAGATGCCTAGTTTGAAAAACTATAGCCAATTTCACAAGTGAAGTCAACCTGAGAATTGGGAATACAAAAACGCTGAATTAGATGTAATTACTAAACTCAATGGAATCAATAATACAAAAATGACACAAGTTCTATAACCATTTTACCTTAAGAAAAAAATGTTCTGAAAACTTAAGATAGCGAAGAATGTAGGCAGCTGGGAAACAAAAAAAAAAAATACATGGGAGGTGTACAATACAGCCCCATTATCATGCCCATGGCAGACATCACTAATCGCACCACCCTTTTCCTACAGAGCCTCATAATTTCAACATAACCTTCTAGCAGAAATCAGGGTTGGCACTGTAACTGAACCTATGTGCCGTCCTTGATAGCTATTTTATAAATACTGTTCAAGTCAACAATATGAAGCACCAAAAGTTTATGTATCTAATGTTCAACAAATTTATAAATTTCATTTATTGAGGTGTTTCCCAAAACAAAAAAATCCTCTTTGAAAGTTTAAATTTTTCTCTGTCAAAGACTATAAAATATGGTCAATATAAACTTAATTAAGAAAATATATTCTTTTTAAAAAAATTTAAACACTCTCCCATGAAAGAGTTTTAGAAAACTGTAATTAACTATTCTTGGCAGCCCTCATTTTTTACCCAATTTGTATTTAAAAACCAGACAAAATAACTTTTTCTGAGTATCAATAAATTAAAACCAGACATACCCACATCACTTACAGATTTATAAAAAATACATTTTTTTAAAAAACGCATATATGTGTCTGTAAATGGAGTAAGAGAAAGAAGCTCTAACTTTGTCCTTGCAGTTTAAAAGAAATACAGGTCAATATTACCAAAACTCTAAAGCGAATATATATGACCATTTAAGATTTGTGTCCGTTCCGAAAACAATTTAAGGCAAAACACTCCAGAAATTCGATGATAAAAAAGGAAATAGAAACAGATCCCTGGAACTCTAGGATCATATTATGACTGGGTAATGTTTAGCATAAAGTAATGGATTCAGGAAGCTGTAAGAGCATTACGGGATGAGAAAGAGTTATTTCCTAAATCCTCAAATCTAGCAAAGAAAAATAAGAAATATCCTACTAAGAAACCAGGAGGCTCCAACTTCCTAGCCTTAATAACAGGATTCAAGTATTATATAAATATAGGCCAGGTTAACAAATGATAATACAATGTTAGGAACATAAACACCATAAAGAGAGGTATTTCCCCACACCAAGTCCAACCTCAATTGGTACTAATATAAGAAATAATAAATTGCTTTGAGAAAGTACCTGTTAGTATCCATTAGCAGAAATGAAGTACTTATATCTGAAAACACTTTTTTAGTATAGGAGCTGTTAAATAGTCATGACCTAAAGTATACATATCTTACACATTGTAGAGTTCCCTGCGTGTACCCATTCAGACCTTTCCCCTGTATTTCCTGTTATTTTAAGGTTTAGATAGTTGGAATGAGCTTTTGCACTTTTACTCTTTTGTACAAAAGTGTACTAACCATTCCTGTCCAGGACTTTTATCCCTAAAACAGAAGTGAAACATGAGCCATCTGTAATGACTTGATATATTCCTGAAGTGTGTAAACCTTTAAAATACATTTGCATCCAACTGTCACTTGGTGCTTTTTCATTTGGACAGGCCACTCATTTATTTAGAGGAAAATGAATTTAAAATTTGCTTATATTGCCAAACTACACATGGAGGTAAAAACAGACCATCTTTGCTCAAGATAAACTATTTTGACTAAAGGAGCATGACACCAAGAAATGACACCAGGGTTAGTACCTGGGCAGTTATTGCTGGAAAGAGCTTTAAGGGCAACGAGAAAAAAGCTCTTTTAGCTTATATTTATGGGCCACCTTTTTTCATAGTGGCTTTAATCTTATTGGCAGTACTGGGACGTAAACAGACCACCTATTATACACAACCTATTTGATAACTGGGTAGACGAAATTTGAAGACTTATCAAAGGTCCTTCAGAGGGCCAATTAAGGAAAGCCACGGTTTCCTACCACTGAAAGGCATGAAGCAGGAGACAGGTCACAGGGTGAACCCATCATTTTCCTTTCCCTTGTCTCAAAAAACAAGGGTGCCATATGTGCACAGTCCAGACCGAGGCTGCAGCCCTTGGTAATGAGTAACCAAAAGCGATGACTGGAGCCCAGACTAGGACCTTACCTCCTGGATGCGCTTCCTGGCCCGCTGAAGCACTTCTTCGTAGCCCTTCTGCCGCAGCTCGCTAAGGCTTTCGTAATACTCCTCGGGGTCGTCGGTCTCAGTGAAGAGTACCTGGGAGAGGATCTTCCAGCCGCAGGTGTCCAGGCCGTGGCCCAGGTAGACCTGGAGCTGGTAACACAGTGTGTCGATCTCCTGCTCGGTCATCTCTGGTGCGCCCCCGAACAGTACGGTCCACATGCCCGAGGGCTCCTCAGGGAACACGGGCAGGCACGGCTCCAGCTGCGAGTTCACGGAGCACAGCTGCTGGTGCACTGCGCGCAGGTCCTGGAAGGAGAAGAGCCCGGCCCAACTGCACTCCTCGGCCGCGGAATCCAGCTCAGCTGCGGGTGGCTGCTGCTCCGCGTCCGAGATCGCCAGGGACGCCGGGGCCGCTTCGTCCTCCCTCACCATTTCCAACACCTCGATCTCCTCGGAGACCGCCCCGCAGGCGCTCACTACCCGCACCGACGACACCGGGGCCTCCCGGGACGCCGGTGGGGCTGCCGCAGCGGCGACCCCCGCCGCATCTCTGCCATCAGATCCCCTCCGGACTGGGCTGCACTTGGCCCGCACTGGGCTCCTGAGAGGGCTCTCTGCCCCTTTGCCGGCCGAACTCCGCAGCAGCGAGTCCCCACGAAGGCTGCGCGCGCTCCGCGGAGAGCCGCCCTCCGTCCAGGCCGGGCTCCTCCGCGGCCCCGGGCTCCTTCCCAGAGTCGCGGAGGCAGTCGCCTCGGGCCGCCCCTTGCCTACCGGGCTGCCGGGCCCGCGGGTCCCATCCGACGCCGCTGTGCCGGACTCGGTGCCTCCTCGCGACCCCGCCTGCTCCCGGGAGCCGCTCCTCTGCCTCTGGGCCGTCCGGTTGTGGCAGGTTATGGCAAACTTGCCTTCAATCTCGTTCCAGGCCACAATAAAGACAAACTTGTGCTTCTCGCGCTCATCGAACACATGGGGCCGCACAGCCACCCAGTCCGACTCGAGCGTCTCCTCCAGCGCGAACGACATGGTGGCTCCGGCGCCAGGCCGCGGGGGAAGCGACGCTGGCCCTGCCCGCCCGAGAACTCACCGGCTGGCTGCGCCGCGCCCCCCACTCACCCTCGCCGGGCGCCTTCAGCCATCTTAGCGCCCCGGCGGGTTCTCTTCGATCGCTCGCCTGTCCCTCCGCACTCAGACCCGCCGCGATCCTTTGTGGCCCGGCTCGCGGGAAAGACAATACTCGTCCCTGGAGCAGGTAGTTCACATGGTCACGTGCGGCCGGATCTGTTTACAAGCCCCGCGCTGCGGCAGCGCCTCGCGCCCGCCTGGGCCGCCCCCCGCGCGAGGCCGCGGTGCTGCGTCTGTGGCTCTCTGGAGGTGAGGCGCAGGTCCCGCGGGGCCTGGCGGGCCGGTAAGCAGTCGGGGCCGGCGGTGTGTGCGTCTCCGCGGCTCGCTTGGGCCGATCTCCCCGCCCCTCCTCCTCTTCCCGACTGCGCGGAGCCGGCCTGACGGATGGACGCGTCTCCTAAACTCGGCGCTTCAGTATCGCCACAATGTTACCATTCGGCTGCTGACGTCGGCGGCTCCACGAGGGACGTAAACATGGGCACGTGCCGCACGCTGGTGACGCGGCGGCGGCGGCGCGCACATCCCGCCTGCGCGCGCCGACCCCGCCCCTCGGCGTGCTCCTGCCCCTCCCGCGAGCGGCCGCGCGCCCGACTTTTTTTTTTTTTTTTTTTTTTTTTT